GGAAAATACTGCTTAGTTTAAAACAATCAAATCTTCAAAAAATATGCACAAGTTTTGCACATTAGGTATTTTATATGTTTTCTCGCATTTATTACATTTTCTAATTAAGAATCACACAATTTCAACTCTAGTTAATGGTAGCAATGAGGTAAATATAAGTATATTTAAACTTCATTTTATTCATATATGCATGCAAAAACTGCAAGTTATTTGAGCCACGATTCGTCTGGATTTTTATGTTGGCCTAATACTGGAATTTTAAAAGCTCTTGGGGGACCTCTAAATGTTGTTCAAATGAGCTACAACTTCACCAATTCACTCATTGTACCCAAGAGACACATTTCAGGGGGTGAGACACCAAAGATTAAAAAAAAAAATTTTTTCCAAGCATTTCTGGGACGCCCTACTCTACGTCTACACCCTACTCATATACTCAAATTATAAATACAAATATACATGAGTGAATGTCAAATTGACTCAAAACAATAAATACAATCATAATAAAGGATCTCATACTATTTTTACAAAAACAAGATTATTATGTAATCGGAGGACAGAGGTAATAAATGAGACTTTTTTTCTTCACCAAATGAAACTCCTAAATGTATGAATGTGACTATAACATTGCTTCGCTGGTGCTCAGCGACTTCTCAAAATCAGCCATTTTGAAAGATCAACAACAATTACACTACGAATCGGTCAGACATTTTACCGAGATGCGAGATAAAACCGAGACTGTTTTGAAAATACGGTACGTAGTTAAGGAGACGTTACTTTTAATGAAAAGATTTACTATATATTACAAAGATTACAAAAATGCATTAAAATTTTGACTAAAATTTGATTAACTAATTATAAAAAGTGTTGGACTGCAATAAAGCTTTAAAATATATTAGTTTAATCTATTTTAAAGCTTTATTGCAATTAGACACCAACACCATGACATATTGTGACAATATAAGGTAAGCTTTAATAATAATTTTACAGAATACATATATGTTTCGGCACATGCCTTCATCAGTACAACAAAAATACAATTAAATAAGTATACATTAAATTACATAATATATATATATATATATATATATATATATATATATATATATATATATATATATATACACAGATATCCTACCCCAAAAAGGGGAGAAAAAATAGGTGTGGGCGAAAAAAAACCTAAAATTTGATATATAACTATATATGTTAATGTCTATTTAACACTGATTTAAATAACAATATACCGATACCTCCACCCAGTCACCAACCGCCTAAAAAATGAAAACATGTTATCCAAATAATCGATTTTTCAAGAGAATTCAGAATATAACAGAAATCAATTATAGTAAATAATTTGAGGCTAGCGTCTAAAATCAATTATAGGCTAGCGTCTGGTAAACTAATAACTGGTTGAAAAATCAAAACCAATATCCATAAGGCATTTTAAAAACTAAGAGGCACTCCATAAACGACGTCACGAGCCCAGTTGGGGGGGGGGGGGGGTTACTAAGTCTAAGTGTTATAAGGTGTGATAAAAGTGTCTAATTTTGTTACAACTTTGTGACCATTGGGCCAAAATAGCGTGGTGGCGTTTAGGGATGACCCCCTAATTGATTGAGGGCGGCATTTTTTGCCTACTGCAGAGTATTTTTCATGGAAAGTGGGCAGTAAAAATCTTGACCCACCCCACGGCACTGACCTTTGCTACGTCACTGTGGGGCTGTTTTCATTCTTTTAAAACTTATCCATAAATTATAAATACTATAATAATGTCATTAAAACAATCTGCCCATGCCGATGCCCGTGTTTGCGTGGGTGACCAACTAAATATTGTTTTGGTATCGTATTTGCAGTTTGAAAGTAATAATCAAAATTATTGACTAAATTAGTGAAGTCTTCCCCCCAAAAGTTTTCTCTAGACTCTAGGTGCATTTCGATTCACGTCTTCAGAGCTACATTTAACTATTAATAAATTGTAATTTAAATCTTTGACAAAGACGGTGATTGTCGGTAAGCGTAATTTGGTCCATATCTGTGCTGCTGAACTTTGAACTAAAATCAGTGATAACAAATAAAAAAAATTAGGCCTACTACGATTTTTATGAACTAATATTATTAAGTCTTGGTCAGGCTCAAGTTAAGTAATGTCTTTTACAACTCCCCCGGAAGTTTTGTTGAGACAGAGCATTAGGTAACATTTTGTTACAATTAAATTACTTTAAATTAAATAAATATTGTTTTATATTTACATAATAAAATATTTAGTTAGCCTTATAACCTTATAGCCTTATAGGCAGTGTCCACAAGTCTGGCGACCTTACTAATAAGTTCTTGAGATATTCGTCCGTCGTTTTTAATTTTTCCTTTATTTCTTTGTAAAATTATGTATGTTAAATAATATTATTATTAGGTTTAAAATTAAAATAACTACCCTACTAATGTTTATAAAAAAAATATTTCAAATATATGTTACAGTATATAGTACATTACAAAGCTCTTAAACTTAAACGATTTATCATTTTAATGAGTCATTTGTTTTTGCTTGTATTATATTCAATTAAATAGTGATAGTCATTTATCGACTGTATACATACTGATATAGTATTATTTTTTATACTCATATATTACTAAAAGTGATTTAAACTTACTCCAAACTACAATTTAATTTCATGTTTTCACATATATAATAAACAAATGGTTAAAAAGTGACATGTCCGCCAGATGAATATACCAGCACTATTTATCCACTAATTAGACATTCACAATTTTACAAAGAAGTAAAGAAAAAATTATCCCCGCTGGACGAATATCTCGAAAATTTATTCGTCCGGTGGCCAGACATGTAGACACTTCGTTAATTTTAATTTCTTAATTCAAATAATTAATTCACTTATCCTATCCGTTATAAGCCATTATTATTCTAATTCTAGGCCCTATTTTGTGCATTTATTCTTTTACTTTTTTTTTTTTACAGGCCTTCTATATTCGTAGAAGTATAAATTTATAAATAAAATTATACACCTAGACCTAGGAGTACTAGGAAAGGGTTTCTTAACCTCGGCCTCCACGCTTTAAATTCTCTTGATTTGAAAACATATTCCTGCACCCTTTGCCCTTACCAAAAAATGCAAATGAACCTGATTTTTCTGGTCTTTTTGCTGCACCCCCTGAAACTTCCTCCGTAACCCAACACCCCCTGCTTAAAAACCTGTGGGTTGGCCACCCCTGGAGTAAAGAATATATCAAGACTACTTGTGAAGTGAGCAACAGAGGTGAAGCACCCTTTTATACAAACATGTGATAACACGCCTACAATTTTATTAACCTAGTCATTGCAAAAATTAAGTATTTAACACTTGGGGGGCCAGTTTACTTTTCCAAACAGTTTATATTTATATTGATTTACTTTCCGATGCCCATTTTTTCTGTAACATTTAACAGGTAAATTAACCAAATTTCAGTTTGACTGATTTTTTTCACAGAGAGTGACCTAAATGGTAAAAGGAATTACAGTAATAACACAGACTAAAAGCGCTGCTTTGAATGTGGAAACTAAATTAGAATAGACATCAAATAAATAATGTTAAATATTTAAATTATTTTCGAAGTGTTACATTTGCTTCAGGTCATGGTGAAACTAACTGCATCAGTATTTATTTTAAACATTTATCAATAATTAATAAAATTATCTTCAAATATAATTGTTTCTTCTTTATTAAAATTTCTAACAGAGCTTGCTCAAGTCTGCGATGGGGTCCAAAGTTTTGCGCTACAGGAGGGCAAAGGTCAACCAGGTCTTACAGAGCAGCAGTGTGCACAAAACTGGGTGACCCACTAGTTATCAAGGAATTTCCCCATCCAGCTAAGCTTAAGGAAACTGAAGTAAAATATACAAAATTTAAAAAAAAGTTTTGTGAGATATTTTACACTTAACACATACTAGTAGGCCTACATGCTAACCTGTGGGATAAAAAAACACTACAAAAAATTCCCCAAAATTTTACAACAGCATGAACAAATTTGCAGAAAAAATTAAAATAACTATAATTTATAACGTTTTCGTCATTAGTCATTTTGAATGCTTTTATAAAAGATGAATTATCTCCTCTTTGCTGGGCGCACATTATAGTATGTTTACATCATTCATAATTGAAAAATGCTTTTTTTTTAGTCCATCTTTTGTCAAATTTTGAGGTTTATTTTTTACACTAGTCAATAGCGATTTTACTTTAAAAAATGGACTGAGATGATAAATTTGATAGAAATTTAGATGTAATGAGACATAATTCGTTGGTTAATTATGCCAGCAGTATTGCTAGCTGTAATAATACGGAAAATTAACAAAGTGAAATAGCGTTGGTCTTCATAAAGTTATTGTGTTCAGTTTATCATCAATTTATGGCTTTTTTTTTTCACCTTACTGGAGGAAAATTTCAGGAGGGTAGAAGTTTAAAAAAAACAACTCTATGAGCTTTATGGCTATAATATGTTTATTGGAAGTTTCCATTTAGATTAAAATAATTACTACAAAAAGATTCCAATAAAATATAGCTTACAATACTCAGTGATATTTGTGTCTAACGTATGTTTATACAAAAAAGAAGATCACACCCGCTTTTAGTTTTAGAAGGCGTTTACAGCTGTAGTAAGAAATAGGAATGATGAATAATGAAAGTCATTGACATTAGTATAAAATGTATTTAATTATGCAATAGAAATTAAAAGAACCTGTATTAACACTGCACTTCTTGTTAAGAATTACACCAATGATTTGTAATTATGGTTTACTACTAAATGTAGTTACTACCATGCTACATATTATGCTGGCTTAGTATTAACAATTGATATCATTGTAATCACACCCCGTTTGTTAATTTAGATGTGCTACTCATCCTGAAGTTGGTCATTTTGAATGGACCAATTGGATTTAAGTTTTTGAATGTGTGTCTTTGGCAAAAATATTTATTTTGAAATCCAGGGAAAACTTGTACACAATCCTGTATGGCTGTACAACTAAGCAAACATGTAAAAACAGTACAAAGAACAGGTTAACTTTAAAAGTTTGAAGTATGCTTAAAGGTATCTGTCAAAATTTTTATTTTCAACATTTACACTATTTAGAATTTTGCATGATTGGACAAATAATTTTTTTATTAAGAATACATTTCAAATTAATTGTTATTTAATTTTATTTTTAATAATAGTGCATAAGCCGACTACAAAAAAATAATTTTAAGTCTTGAGCGAATTTTTTTTTCTTTTTTATTCTGGCCACACTTAATTGTTTTTTAAAATGTAATTTTGCCTTTCTTTTTTTCTTCTCTTCAGGTGCTTATTGCAACCCATGCTACTGGTATAAATTTTGCTGATATTTTAACCTGTAAAGGATTGTATCAGGATCGACGCAGAACTCCTTTTACACCTGGTTAGAAATTATGAAATTTGTTGATCCTAAATTTTATACTGTCATAGAAATAAGTAGGCCTGTATCAGCTAGAGCTGGGGCTGGTAGTCTTTTTTTTGGTGAGGATAGTGCATGCCAACTTGTGGGGAAAAAACAAACTGCATAAATAAGATGATTTATCTCCCCTTTGCTGCAAGCACATTTTAGAAGGATTTATAAATGGATAGATCACATATTTAAAAGTAAAATAGCATGTTTTAAGTCTGATTTTCATCAAATATTTAGTTTTACTGTGGTAAATAGCAATAAATAACACATGAACTCAGATGATGAATTTTATAGCAATTTGAATGTAAATAGACACAATTCTTTGGTTAATTATTCTATCTGTAGTAATTCAGATTCCCTTTTTTTAAATAAAGAAAATAATATATCATCACATCATATTGACAAAGCTATTGAGTTCTGTTTACCGTCAACTTTTAAATTTGATTTTGACCATATGGTACTGGAGGAAAATGTCACGAGGATAGAAGTTTTTAAAAACTTTATATGCTATGGGGATATAATATGTTAATTGGAAGTTTCCAGGTGGACTAAAATAATTGATACAAAATGAATATAATATAATATAGCCTACAATCCTCACTGATTTGGGCTCTTAATAATGTATACTTATACAAAGATAAAGATCACACCAGTTTCTAGTTTTAAAATGTGTTAACATGTTAAATTAAATTAACACCTGTCACAGTAATAAATAGGAATCATGACTCATGCTAGTCAATGGTAGTAATGTCAAATAAATTAGATCATTTACTAGAAATTAATAGAGCACTTGCTAACACTACAGTTTTTTTAGTCAATTAAACAAACAGATTTGAATTTATGGTTTTTACTACTCAAATTGGTTTAAATCGTACTACCCTGTCTTGGTCTTAGCATTAATGAAGGATATCATTGAAAGCAAGCTCAATTTCTAAATTTAGATGCAAAATGGGATTTAAGTTTCCTGTTGTTCAACATTGAATTAAATGCATTGCCAGTTTTTGAGTATGTGTCTGGTGGAAAACTATTTCTTTTCTAAATGCTGTAAAAACTTTACAAAATCCTGTACAGCCAAACTCCCCGGTAAATTATAAAAAAACATACAAATACAATGTACGGTTAAACCATACAGTTTGACATGCATGGTGAGGAGTAATTTTTGTAAATTGTATTAGAGCCTATATCTATTGTCATTATATATTAGCACCAAAAAAAGTGATTCATGACACTCTAAAACGCAGGCTCCTGACCACTGAGTTAGTGTATAGCTACTTTAAAGGACAACGAAAATAATTTTGTGATAAATAACATATTTTGGAAATGAAAATTTGCATCATCATAATATGTACTCGGTTGAACACAATAAATCAATGTAAGCCAGATTCAGTCATTGTTACTGGATACTCCAGACTTTTTACGAATTTAATCTTGTACAGAGAAAAATAATTGTAATGTTAATTGCATTTTTTAGGTGGTGAAATAGCTGGTAAAATTATAGAAGTGGGTTCGGAGGTCAATAACCTTAAGACTGGAGACAGGGTGTTTGTTCTTAGCTTTGGCAAAGTGACTGGAGGTGCAGCAGATCTCTGTGTAGCAGATGCCACAGTAAGTTCTTTCACAGCTGTCATTAATAGGCTAATTTTTGAATTATTTGAAGTTTTCAATTCATTGTATCACGATGCATAATTAAAGTTATCACTTTTATTTTTGCAGTCAGTGTTTCCAGTTCCCAAAAACTTGAATTTAGTTGATGCTGCAGGGACAATAGTTTCTTACGGCACTGCAATGTTGGCACTTGCTACAAAAGCAAGATTAAAAAAAGGGTAAAGAAAAGATCTTATCATTTATTATGGTACTATGAGCTGATTTTTGTTTCTAAGAAAAAAAATACAACTTTTTAAAGGGGGACAATTTATACAGAACTTTTATTTTACAAGGGCGTTTTCAAAAGTGTAAGCTAATTATTAACTGACTGTCCATCATGGATGGATTCAAAATTTACAAAGGACCAAAGTTAAAAAAAATATTTTTTATTTTGAGGGATTTGTATTTTTTTCACTTTAACTGTACATTTTGTTAACAGTAATTATGATTTTCAGAAATATTTATGTGGGAGTGTTCATCATCATCATCCTGATCTTAGTGTTCCTTAGTTGGTCTTTATTAGCATATAGGGCTTTAGTTTAGCCTGGTAATTGAGAGAGATCATTAATGCACAAGTCCTGAAGTACTTGGCAGAGAAAGAGGGTTATCTGATACAGTCTCATTTAGTTTTTTGCACAGGGGACATATTTTTAGTCTGTTTGTTGTGCAGTGGAGTGTTTATTTTGATATGTTCCCTGTTGGATGGGGGTAAGCTTAAAATACTCTGACCTCTCTGCCATTGAATCAAATAATCGTGCTTGAAATGTCTATTTTCCTTCTCAACAGTGAAAAAGTCTTAATAACGGCTGCAGCCGGTGCAACTGGTCTTGCTGCAGTGGATATTGCAAAAAATGTGTTTGACTGTCAGGTGAGAAAGAGTTTGGTGCTAACCTCTAACAACTCTCTTTTTTACAGCATTCACTTCTACTGAAGAGATATTTTATTTTATGGGCATGAATATTCAACACTGGAGGAGTATACAAGTCTTGATAGTAGAAATTCAGTGTTCTTTTAGAATTTTTTTATAATATCATCATGGAAAATAAATAAATAAATTTATAAAAGATGATTTGTTTAGGTGATTGCAGTTTGTGGAGGGGAAGAGAAGTGCAAGTTTTTAAAAGAGAGAGGAGCAGATATGACAATAGACTACAGCAAAGACAAGATCCGTGACAAAGTGAAGGAGTTGATCAAGGGCCAAGGTGTTGATGTGGTTATGGATCAAGTTGGAGGAGACACACTTCTGGACTGCATTAAAAGGTACTGAAAGAGTTTCATTTTTATGGACTTGTCAATAATGAGATAAGCCTGTTGGACATTTCTAAGTTATCTGGAGTAAAAAGAAAATTCACAAAAAAACACCATTGCAATCCTGTTGAAAACCTTTTGTCTTTGAGGTCTCTGACAATTTTTATATTTTTGAAAACAAATACATTATAGCTTTTAATAAAATTTTGCATGTAATGGTTTACTTCCTAAAAAAATTGAAAAAAAAGAATGAATTAAAACAACAACTATCTAAGTAATAGTTATAAAAAATATATGGTTTTTGTTATTTAGGAAATTTGACATCTTCAAAAATATGGGTAAATTATGACAACATTTCTGTGGAGAATTTAAATTAAATAAGTAAATGACCCGGTGTTATTTGTTTAGAAACTTTTTTATATAAAAAATATTTGATGATTAGTTTTTAAAATTATAAAATATTTGAAATCATCCGGGTTTATGGGAGGTTAACCCTTCAAACACCCTCTCTACTAATATCATAGACACAAGACTCCTCTTTTAAAAAAAAAATACATCTTTTACCATTCACACAGCTTGGCGTTTGAAGGTAGGGCATTAACTGTAGGATATGCCTCAGGAAACATCCCAAATGTTCCAGCCAATCAACTGCTACTTAAATCTGCATCTCTGATTGGTGTTTTCTGGGGTAGTTATGCCCAAGCAGACCCAGCAACATTTAAGAAGTCTATCTCCCAGGTCCTTCAGGCACTGACAGAGAATAAGATAAAGCCATATGTCGGGAAGACATTTCCCTTGGATCAGGTAAAAAAATATACATCAAGCAATTTTTTTATCAGAATAATTAGCTTTTCCTTAAAAGTAAAGCAAGGGTCCTTAACTCTCAGAGGGCTGTCTAGATAGCAAAGTTTTCTTCTTATATTTTTTATTTGTTAAAATTGTTTAAAATTTAATTTTGTAAAAAAATCATGCGATTGATTTTGTCACCCACAGATTAATGAAGCCTACCAGTATGTCCTGGACAGAAAGTCTGTGGGTAAAGTTGTTTTAAAAATAAAAGAAGAAGATTAAAATACCCAGTAATGTCTTCTGATAAGCTATAATAACAGATCTCACTTTGAACAGGTGAAGAGGCAGCTGTTTTTTTCTTTTCAGTGTTTTAAAAAAAAAAATTATTTTTTTTAAAGGCAAACTATTTTTAAAAGGTATAAATAATTTAAGAAAAATTTGTAAGTATAAACATACTGATTTTGTTGCAAATTCAAAAGAAATAATTTCAACTAAATGCCAATTTAATTGTAAAATATCAGGTCATACAGCATTTTAATTAATCTGAAGGGTGAATACGAACTGGGCTGAAAATCCCAATATGGACAATATAAACTTTAAACTTAGGGCACAAAAATAAGAGATTACCCCTGTATTATTGTTTCTCTGTTTCAATCCTTTACAATACTGTTTAAAAAGTGAATGATGTCCCCTGATTAACATTGTTAATTTTAAATCATCAAAGAAGAGCAAGAAATTAGAATAAAATAAGGTCAAATTTATCTACTTTCTATATGAATATATATCTCATGAATAAGTGGGCAGTATTTCCCACTCTTATTCTTTTCTATTGTTTACGTAGGATACATGTAAATATATATTATGTAAATTTAACTTAATGGCCTACTTATTGAAATGTTTATTTTTGTACTGATGAAGGCATTTGCCAAAATGTTTACTTCTGTATTTTGTAAAAATCATCATTAAAGCTGAACATATATTGTTTTATTTACACAGTTTGTTTGTGTCTAATTAATCGAGTATTACCTCAAACAGATATCTTTTTTTTTTTTTTTTTTTTTTTTTTTTTTTTTTTGGTTTTATTTTTATTTTTTTTTACAACATCATCATCATCATCAGTGGCACTATAGCCCATGTAGGGCCCTAGCCTGCTCCACCACATCCTTCCATTCGGAGTTATCTATGGCTTTCCATTTCCATTCGTGAACCCCCAACTTGTGTAAATCCATCTCCACATCGTAGATCCATCTCAGCCTTGGGCGACCGGTGAGTCGTCTACCCCTAGGCTTCTGTTTGTATATAAAACTTTTGCTGCTCTACATTCCGGCATCCTTTCAACATGTCCTGCCCAGCGTAGACTGCCTTTTTTATCATTGTGACTATGGGTAGGTCTTTGTACAAATGGTAAAGTTCTTCTTTTGTACAAATTCTCCAGATATCATTTTCGATCAATGGGCCGAATATTTAACATAACATAGGCATTAAATTTTAAAACAAATTCCACACTGTACAGTTATGAAGTATTGAAAGAATTCAATGTTTACAACTACTGTTCCATTCTGTCTGTCCTTTTTGTAAGTATGTATATAGAGTGGAGTACCAGTATACATGTATAAAAATTATATTTACCAACATCCATTATAGTGTAGGATCACACATTACATATTTGTGCTATATATATGTTATTTCCTGTAGGAATTTCTTTATGACCCCAATCAAAGGCCAGGTGACACATATTTAATGTCCCTGCAGTATCCATTTATCATGTGTGATTAGCAATAATTAAATCAGAGACACTGCAGATTCTTTGAGCTGTAATTGAAATTTATCAGTGCATGGGTTTTTTTTTGGCCTTGGCAAATTTTCAATCTTGCTGAAGTGGGTTACACTGAGAACTTGTGCTTAGCAAAACATTTCTGATGATGAAGCAGGTGATCATTATGGGTTTTAATCTGAAAAAAAACCAAAAAAAAAAAAAAAAAATGTCTGACATTGCATTTTAATATGTTGCCTAACGATTAGATGTAAATATATGCCGGTATATGGTGGCCTGGGTGGAGTTGTTACATCTGTCATTTTGGAAAAAAAATTATCATGAAACGAAAATTATCTCTTACTAAATAAATCACTTAGATTTCTCTTTATCACACCCCCATTTACTATTGCTGTGTAAGCCAGCCACTGTACAGTCATAAGATTCACATATATGTACATGTCTAGCTGGTCGGTGTGGTGTCGACTATATGGGGAACTTGAGACAAGGGCCAATGGCAACAAGACAGTCCAGGGTATGGGTGGGAGGAGGATTGGTCCATTGTGTCAATGGCAACAAGACAGTCCAGGTTATGGGTGGGAGGAGGATTGGTCCACTGTGTCAATGGCAACAAGACAGTCCAGGGTATGGGTGGGAGGAGGATTGGTCCACTGTGTCAATGGCAACAAGACAGTCCTGGGTATGGGTGGGAGGAGGATTGGTCCACTGTGTCAATGGCAACAAGACAGTCCAGGTTATGGGTGGGAGGAGGATTGGTCCACTGTGTCAATGTCAACAAGACAGTCCAGGGTATGGGTGGGAGGAGGCTTGGTCCACAGTGTCAATGTCAACAAGGCAGTCCAGGGTATGGGTGGGAGGAGGCTTGGTCCACTGTGTCAATGTCAACAAGACAGTCCAGAGGATGGATGGGATGAGAAATGGGCCAAAATAAAGCCGATAAATCGAACTTGAAATTGAAAGTAATGGGTATAAAAGTTTAATTTGTTAAAATATTATTTTATGCTTGTTATTTATCCATATCTGGCTATTTACCAAAGATAGTTAAAGCAAACTTTCTAACTACATATAAGAGCAGACAATTTGTCCAGAGGTCTTCTCATTGTTTAGTGTCTGTGTAAATGTTGTCACTGGTTTATGAGAGGTCTTCTCATTGTTAAAAATTTATTATTATTCATTTTATGTAAAAATCTGTATTTATTCTATTGTTTGCTTTGTTTTCAACTGAACTTTACTGGTTTTATAAGACAATTAATAATAATCTAGCCCATTCCTACTATCATTTATTACAGTTGCCTTTTAAATAAAAAAAAAAAACCAAAACATTCATTGACTTTAAAAAAGCGAGTTCAATTTTATTTAACTTATGTTCTTTCAACTACATGAAAACATTTTTAAAAGCTTAAAAAACAAAACTTTTCGTATACATCTTTAATATGCAATGTTTTGCATTTGCTTATTGTACGTCATTTATCATTTTTTATGTGATTGTACCAAATGATTTTGTGAATGTGAATGGTTTATATTAAACTCAGCGCATGGAAAAACCTAACAGACTAAAGATATATTTAAAGCCAAATACGTCCACAAATGCAAAGCACATAGCAGCAGCTATACAATTAATCTCCACACCAAAATCACGCAACGAGTGAACAAAGCATTAACACCCCTCCTCCCCTCTCCCCCACCCCGTTGAAAAACAAGAAAAAATGATTTTAGGGGGTTGTGGTGGGGTTTAGAATCATATTGAATGCGTTGTCATCGGCAACGAGTCTATGTGTCAAGTTTCAGCTCGATAAGATGACGGGAAGTGGCTTAATTAGCTTCCCTTTTAAAACAGGAAAAAAAAAGATTTTTGTGTGTGTGGGGGGGGGGGAGGTTTGGGGTTGGGGTGTAAAAATTTGATATAGTGCATTGTTATTGCTAAAGAGTCTTTTTGCCAAGTTTCAGCTCGATAGAATGACGGGAAGTGGGTCCTTTAGCCTCCTGAAGATTTTCCAACCACAAATAAAGAAACACGAACAAAAGCGAAGTTAGTATAGTGTATTAAAAAAAAAGGCTAAGATTGCAAAGTGCATTAGAAAATGCACCCCCTAAAGGGCCCTAAATGAGTACTACTTTATTTAATTTCTGCCGGTCAGTCTTTGTGAAGACTTAAAAACTGGGGACATTTTTTGTTATTGCCATTTTTATGCTTTAAAAAATCTCTATTTTGTCCATGTTTTTCCAGCTGTTCCAACCACTAAGACTTGCTTCCTTTTACGTTCGTTTAATATGCAGCACATGGCGACCTTAATGAATAAAGATATTGACCGCACTTTTCGAACTTAACAAATTAAAAAAAAAAATAACAAAATTACACCAAGTTACCCATGGGAACAGCAAAAAAAAATTACTTTAAAAAAAAGGTCGTCCATGAGAATTTTCCATTCATCACGGTCCTGTACTTTCAACTTCTGTTGCTTTCAGGTGTATCCCATGCCCATACTTTGCGTGTCAGTCTCTAGCTCGCGCCTCCATGTATTCTTTGCCCCCCCCCCTCTCTTCTTTTTCTCTGTGGATTCCATGTTAGGGATTGTCTGGTGATGCTATCTGGGTGTTTTCGGAGAGTATGTCCTATCCACCTCCATTTTTCCTGTATGATGTCTTCATCAATGGGCACCCGGTATGTACTTTCTAGTAGATCTTTGTCGGTGATGGTATTTGACCATTTGATGTTCAGGATCTTTCAAAGGCGAGTGTTTATAAAGGTCTGTACTTTCTGCGTAATGCTCGCTGTTGTTTTCCAAGTTTCTGCTCCAAATAGTAGGACTGTTTTGAAATTTGTGTTAGAATTCTGACTTTGGTTTGCAACTTTAGCTCCTTCGACTCCCATATTTTCTTTAATAGCACAAATTCTAGCCTTTCTAATTGTAGCCCTAACATCCACGTCGGATCCGCCATTTATGTCGATGGTGCTGCCTATTTGTCTGGGGACGCATAATCATAAGACCCGTGTACACATTGAAGATTTTTTAAACTTAAATCTAATTCAAACGTGATAGTATGAAACAGGGCCAGCGTTTTGGGGAGGAGGGGGGTGGCGAACGGGGCCATATTTTGCTTGGGGGCGAGCATAGTTCCTAACATTCTATGAATATAACCTGGCCGTGCCTAATCATAGTTCGTTACTTCCAATCAACACAATGTAATGGAGATAGAAGGTAATCAAATGATCAGTTTGTCTGTTTTCATTACAATCCTTCCAATTTCCATCGCGTGAAGACCCTACAGTGAAGTTTCTTCTTTTTTTGTTGCAAACTACGAGCTGGGAATTTTGGAATTTCTGCTTAACGCACTCTTTGCCCTTCAATCAACATCGCCAGAAAGATATTTCAGACATCGGCTATGAAACTTGATGTAGCCATTACACATGTCCAAGGTCTAATCGTTTCCTCGCCATTACCGAAGAGAGGAATAAGCATCAGCAATGAACACTGCAAAGGAAATGGCACCAGAAACGAACACCGTGTCGGTGTCTAAAGAACGCCAAAATACGCGAAGAAAGAGGAAGTCTGAATATGACTCTAAAGACGAGACACGACCAGACGCTTGAAGATAGAGGCAGTTGGAATATGAATCTAAGACGAGACACAACGTACGCTTGAATAATCTTTCAGGATTGAATATTATTTGTGACATCCTTGAAGACTCGTTTTCAACTACCGTAATTGTACTTTGACACATTTGGCTGTCCAAATAATATTCAACGAGTCAATTCTTTTCCAAATATTGAGATCGTGTACCAAATAATGTTGACAGTGCTGGTAACCATAGCGATTGGAAAAGGAAGTTTTTCAAAGTCATGTTGATTTAAAAAAAACAAAAAAACTTGCTTGAGATCATCAATGTCTCAAGTCTCAGGTTTGGTTGGATGGATTCCCAACAATGTCAATAAAGCGAAGCTTTGTTACCACCCTTTACGATGAAGAACTCATTGAAGTGTTTGCCACCAACAAAGCCGGGAAGCTGATTTTTGTTCGCTGAAAGCCGTCTGCAGTATTTGTACTTGTCTGCAGATTTTGCTGCCTTGTATATTAAAATCCTGTAGAATCACAATAAAATATGTTTCTCTATGTCTCTCTTAAAAATAAAATAAAAAATTATGCCATTCCATCCTAAGGATTGTTAATTTTAGTGGAGAATTTCCCGACCCCAACACAGGTTTTATTTCTCCCGTGGCAACGTAACGACCAAAGTTTCGTTGTTTTTTCCCCTCCGTTTGAATGA